TGCCGTGAACGGAAAAAAAACTATTGTAAAATGTTTATCCAGCCAGAGAAAAATGTATCTCCTTAATGAACTGAAGTTATTTTTCTCCAAATGTTCATGTGAAAGAAAGTTCTTTATATTCAGGGATGGGTTGGTTTAACCTGGGAATGTGTGTGTGTTGGGAGTTGCTGTATAAATGTACTAAGCTTGCCCAGTCAGAGCTTTTTCTCTCTGTCTGCAGACCCAACAATAAATGTAAGCCTTCCTTGCAAGAATTGCCTGGAATCTCAGTTTCTCCACAAGTTCACAGAATGTAGCCTCTCAGTCATCCAGGTCATGGTCAAGCTTGGAAAAGTTCAGTCTAGGTAACTGGATGTGATGTTTTCTAGAAGACGTTTCTTCTCTCAACCAGGAGGCTTCTTCAGTTCTAGCTAGTGGTGGGGAGCACTGAGATTAATAAACTGTAGGTGGAGCAAGGAATAGGTTCTAGACAATCTGGCACCGGTAGCTGATCAGAACGGGGCTTATAAGCAGGTGGAAACAGGTGAAACCAGTTGAAGTTGATTGCAGGTGAGGTGGAGGTTAGCTGGAGTGCAGCATGGACAGTTAGGCCAGCCCCGGTGCCACAATTGTTACGCTTCTCTAAAATCTCCTATGGTGTGAGTTTGTTTGTGCATGGTTGCATGTGCATTGGGTACCGATAGATAGTATTCACCTGGAGACATGCACCTGCTCATAATCTTTATGAACAGGATTTTCAGGTATAGGCAAAGTGGAATACCAAAGGTATGACTAAAATTTCATTTGGAAATCTGGCTCCAAGTCATCTGAGATCTACATTCAAAGCAGCCATCAACCAGAGAATTGGAGAACATGTCATGCTGCTTTCTGCCAACAAACTTTATGGAGACAGCAATCTTATTGTCCAGCAGAAGTTGGTGCAAACATTCCCTGTGTTACTAATGCTGGTTCACTGTGTTTGATAGCACTGAAACTCAGTTGCCCCCCTACCTTATCAAATCCAACAAAAATATTGTCTAACATTTTTGCTATGTCAGCGCTCGATTGTACTGCAAAGATTTTTGTTTGTACCGCTATCATCTAAAAAATAGCAATGAAAATGTCCAGAGGTCACCAAAGTTCAACAGGCCCCACCACCAAAATTGGTGTCAGTCGGTACGGTTACATTTGTGCTGCTTTGTGCAGCAAATATTTTCATTTGTTCATTTATTTTAGAACTTCAAAGGTCACAGGTCAACCATCCTTCCCAAATGAAACAAGAATGGTGTCATGCTTTCTGTTGGTCTGTCTGGGAAATATTTTTGTTTGTGCTGCTATTGTTTTGAGAATATTAATGAAAGCTTTAATAAAGAATCCATGGAGTATTGTCCAATGTAAGCTTGGAGACACCAAAGCCACCAATGGAGATAACCTGAAGGCAAATTTAGAATAGAATAGAAAATGTCTTTATTGTCTCACAATGTGGAAATTCTGGTGTTTACAACAGCAAAAAGATTATCCAAAAAATGGTCACACAAAGGTGGACCTTAGAAAAATGTATAAGAATAACATAATACTGAAGAGTTAAAAAATGGACAAATACAATACTATAAAGTGTTTTAACGATATGAATACTGTGCACCAGTAGAATAAATAACCAACATTAATTTACATAGTGAGCAACCTTGTACAAGAAAATGAAATTGCAATTTGGAAAATATATTTTACATTACTCAAGAAACCTTAATCAGGAAATTGAGACACATTTGCTTCCACAGAGAGCAACCATTCCTCAACACATATCAGAGATTCCAATAACAGCAAATAGATCCTAAAATAACACTGAATGTTTTATTTCAGTTAACAAGTCAAACATGAAAAAATTATCTTAAAAAAGAAAAGAGTAAATTAAAATATCCTTCATATTTACATAACCTTAATGCAAACTGAATAATAAATTGAAAGGTAAACATCAAGTGTTGCATAAACTGCTATCATGATCATTTTCAGTGTGATTTTATAAATAATCATTGTCAGTGGGTTAAATTAATGTTCTCACAGTCCTCCAACTCACGCTAAAATTTTAATGCTTTGGCGTCACTAAAACTGAAACAAATTTTTTTACTCACTGATCCTTATCCAAAACGCAGAAAGACTCCAGGAATGGAAAGTTAGCTGCAATACTCTCAAAGTCTTCTTGTGAAATATACCCATCATGGTCATGGTCATAATTCCTGAAGACAGACTGTCCAAAGGAAAGCGGGTAAATAATCTCATACAGAACCCTGTGTCGTACACTTTTAAATGAAAACATTAAAATATGGAGGCTTTAACTCACTTCCACCAATTTGCGAATGTGTTTATTGACAACAGAGGGATCCGGTTTGGTGGTGACCCCCGAGGCCCAGTCTAGTGGAGCCAAAGGCTTGTTGGGAGTAGTTGGAGATGTAGGCTAAGCAGAAGAGACATTCCTATTAAGTCACATACACATACATATATATATATATGTATATATATGAAAAAATAAACAAAAAAAATATATGCATATATGTATAATATTTAGAGAGTTTATTACACTAAATCAGTGAAATCAGCAGGATTTAGTGTAATAAACTCGAGATATCACATAATGTTGGTTTATTATAGGAATGGAATGGAATTACCACCATTTGTGTCGGTTAAATAGGTGAGATAGAAATATTATTCATAACTCTGACATCTTATAAAAAATGACACATAAAATATATATAAAAATATAATTTTTAAACATCTTTTCATGCCAATGTCTTTTAGATACCACAAAAAAAGCATATCGAGATTAAAAAAAATAGTATTTTAACACTTTTTCTTCAGATACTGAAATGCCTCTTTGCCATCACCCAAAGACAAGAGTGCCATCATCATCATCATCATCATCATCATCATCATCATCATCATCATTATTTAGATCAGGGTTTCACTGATCCCTGTGTGTTTTAGGTGTTTTCCTGCCTCCACACACCTGACTTGAATGAAAAGATGATCAACAGTCCTTAGGTGGTAGACATGACAGACAGTCGGCCTTGTGAACCTGGGCTGCAAACATCCTAATTTAGATGTTGGGGACATAAGAAGCACTGTAGCAGTCTTTTAGGCTACGTTCAGCAGCCTGAAGTGACCTGAATCCGTTTTTTTTTTGTTTTTTTTGCCCATATGCGACCTGGATCTGATATTTTCATGGCTGTCTGAGCAACTCAGATCCGATTTTTTCCAATGCGACCCAGGCCACTTGGCTCTGTGGTCCTGAATCTGATATGAATCTGATCTTTTCAAATGTGACCTGTGTCTGAACGGCCAGGTCGCATTCAGTCGACCTGAACGCCATTAGTAGCTGACAAAGTTCACTATTCTGTGCCTTGCAATGTAGAATAGTGAACCATGGTGGATGATAAGGGTAGTATTTATATTGAAAAACTACCAACCATGTTTACATCCGTAAACACAGAGCATGCTGGCTTGTGATGTCATTGTTTCCTTTACTGCTCATGCGGGAGACTTAAGGCTGATTTATACCTCGAATTTAGGTTGTCCCCCCCCCACAGTCTGACCGCAGACAGGAACTAGCTCCTGATTGTCCCTCTTGCGTTGTGGCGTGTAACCACATAGCGCAGACCATGCTTCAGTACTGGGCATAAATCAAAAATGTCTGCATCATACCTGCGACAACCTCACTGTAACACACTGCTGCAGGAGGATAATCAGCCCTTTGAGCCCCTCTATGAATGCAGTTCAAACAGGAGATCACATACAAGTCATATATATTTTGAAATATTAACGACTACGCAAAAAAAATTGGATTTCACAAAAAAATTGGAATTAAGCATTAAGGCCTTCATGCTCAATTCTGATTTTTTGCATTGTCATTCACACTTCCTGATATATGCATCCTGTATGTGATCTCCTCTCTGAACTGCTGTCACACAACTTAAGTGTCCCACAGGCAATGCAGAGGACGCAATGACGTCACAAGCAAGCGTGCTCAGTGTTTATGGAAGTAAACTTGGACGTTAGTGCTGGTCTGTCACATCTAGTTATCTTTCATTTCTATCCAAACCTCAGCCAGAGCATTAAAAACAATCTTTTCAAGAAGGTTGAAAATAAAGAATGCTCTCCACAACACCGTCCTCCTGCGACCTGGCTGTTCAGACACATTAGAAAAAATTGGATTCATATCTGATTCAGCACCACAGAGCCAAGTGGCCTGGATCGCATTGGAACCAATCAGATCTGTCTTGTTCAGACTGATCACATCCAGGTCACATATGGGCAAAATACATCAGATTTGAATCACATCAGGCTGCTTTGTGAACGTAGCTTTATTGACTTCATGCTGAGGATTTTTTTGTCAGACTTGTGTTGGGTTAGCCACGGAGGACCTCAGGGACTGAGTTTGAAACCATGTCCTAATCCTAAGCAATTTTCAATAAGATTCAAAGTTGGGACTAGGGACTAAGACAAAACTAATCATTCACTAACTCCTCATTGCTGCCATGCAACAATTATTGACCCTGATGCCATCACTGCAACGGGGCTTAATTATATTATGTTGTGTGAAATAATATTAAACAAAATTTACCTGAGATTTGAGGCTGCGTGGTTCTCTCAACAAGGATAGTTCATAAATCTCATCTTCTGTGTAATAAAGGTCAAGAGAAAGCTGAAAAATATGAGTGTTTGGTTAAGAGAAAAAATCCTAATGAAGGTGAAACTTTAAGAGAGAAGTTAAGTCATATATCAGAGTGACAGAAACAATGTTTGATACATCTGCAAACAGAGACCAACAGGAAAATGCTGGGATTGTATTTTTTTTAACACCCATCCTCGCTTATTTTGCAAACCCAAATGGAAAAGCCAATAACTGAGGAACTGTAAGGCCAAATTACATGAGTGTTACATAATTGAAAAGCTAACTGAAGCTAAACGAAAACAGTGTGAATTAAACACAGCTAAGCTGCACCACTTCAAACATGACTGAAAGTTGTTTTATCATTCTCCAAAATAACAGGTCATGTTTGAACAGCAGTAATAAAGACATTCTTGAGAATAGGCAGGTCTCACTGCATTACATTTGTTCTACATCATGTCAACCACAAATGCAGAAAATTTCAGACCTCAAGCTAAAACAGTTCCAGAGCTGTGGGGCTTTGAACATTTGGTGTCACCAGCGTCTCCAAAAATCTCCAAATTGTGCCAAATGCTTTTACTCAACTATTTGACCCATAGAAAAACACTGAAGCATTTTGATGGCCACAAAACATTTGTGAAGCAAGTATTTTCCCACTTTTTTTCAGAATCAATGTATATAACAAAATGTAACATTTATAAACCTAAAATACAATACAAATCTATAGTGAAACTGCTGCTTTTCAAGCTAAAATAAGCCCCAGGGCCTTTTCGGAGCTGGATTTTATTTTATTTTTCAATCTTAGGCATTGTAATGGAACAAAATCAGCATCCAAACTTCAAAAATATCAGAGCGCTGTTAGTAAATGGGTTTGAACTGCACGCGCTGATCCAATCTTAGCTGTGTTTTTCACAGCCGGTAACACAGCTCTGCTTTATGCAACCCAGCCATGTCTA